AAAAAAAAAAAAAATGCCGAGTAAAAATCCGAACGTCCTCGCGGAACGATAGCAGTTATTTTTTCAGGTCGTCGAGAAGTTCGAGAGACGATTTCAACACATTTTCATCAACTTTTTACACATCTAGAAACACTTTGTCTTAACGTACTAAATTTTTTTTTTTTTTCAATCGTTTATAAACATACATATCTCTGTACGTGTATCCAATTAAAATATATTGGGCATATTTATAATTATTTATATATATATTTATATATTTATAATATGTATAATGTATAATTATCGATTGCTAAATTTCATAATATTAAATATATATATATAAATTTATTTCATATCAATTAAAATTATTACAGCACAATTATAGCGAGGTGTTTGTTACTTGACTTAATATCAATAATAAGATAAATAATATAACCGTAATTCATATTCATTAAAAATAAAATAATTACCTACCTAAAACGTATAATGATAATAAACGTACATAATTATTAATAAAATGCAATTTTACATACTTAACGTCTAATGATGATTTTTATTTCTCAAATCCATACAATTCATTTCATTATTTACACGAACCTATGTGTGTGTGTGTGTGAGACCTGACACACACTCTAAATACTAAATAGGAGGAGTAAAATCGTTACTAACGACCGTATAGGTAAACGCTAATATTTAATTTTTTTTTTTTTTTGTTATTCAATTACTCGTTACGAAAACGACATTTTTCACTTATAAATAGTAATTAGTATCCAAAAACCGCGCTTGTTAACGGCGACAATGTAAAAAATATATAATAAAATACAATTAAAAAAAAAAAAAACAAACAAACAAACAAATAGCGTAAGGAACTTTAAGTTATCGTATTTTTCATACTTATCATAATTATTTAATTAGTGACTTTTTGTTTAACAGTAAGGAACTACGTACCTCTGCGAGATAAACGAAAAACCGTTAATAGTTTAGAACGGGGCGCGTAAAAATAGGAGAGGCTACAAAAATACATAGTTTTCGTGTTTGTGTGATCCTCGAGGAACCAATGAAAACTGCGAGCGAAACGATTTCATCTTATTAAACGTAGAAAAAAAAAAAAAAAGCCTCTCCCCAGGAACATAAGTGTGTTGTGTAAAAGGAACTTTGGGTCAACGTACAAAAGTCGTTCGAAAACAAATACAATAGTGTACACAAATATAGAAGTCGACATGATCAGTAGATTGTGTCCAGCAACACACGAGAGGAGGATGTTGTCGCTGGAGTGTTCGCCATCGATTAGTGTTACGCTTTATTGTCCGCTGCTGGGCACAGGCGTCACGTTGGGCACTGTGAACTTGATCTTGTTGGCAGCTTTGGATTTCTTATCGGCGCCGGGGGCGCAGAACAAATTGGCGTTGGAGTCGCTATTGGGGTCTCGCGGAGATGGACTACGTCCCACCGCCTTGGCCGCGGCCAGGGCTGTGATTTGGTTGACCACGTCCTCCATCTCGTCCGACAAATTCGGCTGTTGGACCAGCGAATAGTGGGCGGCTTCGATGTGCGCCCTGAGCGCGTGCACGGTGCCAAACGTGACGGCCGAGTTGGTGTCTCCCGAACCGCCGCCGCACGGTCGGCACCCGTAGGCCGGGTGTATCAGAGCTATTGTGCTAGTCGTGCGACACTGCTGTTGATGAGCTGTCAAGCCGGCATCGTCCGGGAACGCCAGTAAACATTTGGCGCACACTCGTCCCACGGTGCGACCCCCGTCGACGACGTATCCGTCGGCGGGAACGTCGGTCGCGGTGGTCGCCACGTCCACGACGGCCGTCTGGTCCGGACGCACATTTCGGCAACGGTCCACGATGGCCTGTATGACCGACTGGTCCAACTGCAACATGCGCACCGGCGTACCGGCCGAGGTGTTGTTTTGCTGCTGCTGCTGCTGCTGCAAGTAATGTTCGTCGAGTTGTTGGCCGACAGCGTTGGTACCGACCGTATTCATCGTGGTCGCGTTGGCGCTGGAAGCCCTGTGCTGTTGATCCAGACGCAATCCGTTGGTGCCGTTGGACGCACTGGCCGCTGAAATAAATCAAAACAATCCGTCGTTAGTGCGATGTGAAACAAGACAAATAAATATAAAAAAGATAGTGTCTAAAAAAGTGTAAGATTACAGGGCGGCGAGGAGACACATTCACCTCCTGGCCGCCTCTCGCGCGTCTAACTAATTCGTCAACGCCGGTTAATTTTTTATCCATATAAAACGGCACTTACGTCGCAAGGGGAAATGGCATCGATCCGGCGAGACACAATCCGTCGACCCTTATCTCGACCGAAACCAGTTTAGTGTAATAAAAAAGTGACCCGACCGACTGTTTAATGGCCGCGCTGCGGAGTAGTGATTCCGTGGGGCACACGCAGACGGTACAATCGTTTTTCAATTAACCGGACTGTTGTCAACCGATAACACAAATGACACCTAACCGAGGCGCTGTTAATGTACAAAACGCACTGGACTCGCATATAATTATATTAACGACAAACCCGTTTGGAAAACGTTAATTAGTCCGGAGACGTGTGCCCCGTCGGAAAGTTTCAGGTGCGGCGTTTGCATCACGAAAAGACTTTTTTATGTGGTTTCCGTCGGTATTCCGAGCGCCACACACACCGACTCGTTCGACAAATTTATCACGTGTTTTTGTCCCCCCGATCGGCGTGTTTAGGGATTTATGTATTTTTTATCACGCTCGAACCGTGTCGAGCGGGGGCGTGCTATTTATTTCTTCCATTTCGGTGTAAAACCGCGTGTGTGTCCGTCTGCGTGTTAATGATCCGATCGATCGGACGACGAGCATAAAATTAGTCTCTCACGGACAATATGGCGGTCGCGGGCAACGATATACGTGTACGGTGTTTTACATTTTTTATAGCCGTCCGTAACTGCTTTACTCGTTCCAGAAATTAGAGAGAGAGACGGCCGGTCGTTTTCCATTAGCACATCCGAATACCAGAACATTGTCGCGCCTACACTCGCGTATCGCACACACGATTAAAAAATTGCCCGGCACATTGCGTGTGTCATACGGGCGGGCGTTAAAAATGTTTTCATTACACGCGTTTAAGGTCCGTGAGTAATTTTCCGGGCGATTAACGAAGCCGTTTTTAATTTCACTTCTCATTCCATCGATTTGCTCCGGAAGTCTCGAGGAATTCAAAGCGACCGATCGCCTTCCCGCCGCTAATTACGGCCGAGGAGTCGCACCACATCGGCTTTTTTGTTATTTTAACGGCGTCGATCGCGAGACATTACCGTTTAAATGCAACGGTCGATTACAATGCACACGAGCGGCATTTCATTTTTTACAATCGCTCAATTTATTTCGCACGGACAGCATAGTCGGTTTTTTGGCTGCCGTCGGCCATCCATTGTGCCGGCAACGTCGTGCGGTCGGTAACATGTGTACAAAACGATACGTTGCTGTTGGCCGATCTAAAAAGTCCTTGTCCGAAGATTACACACGTACTTTATGTTAATGCCGCGGCGGCACAATACAGTCCGTCTTTGACTCATTGTAATATTATTATTAATGGCTCCCAGTTTTTAATTTCCGAGAAAGTCGTGTACGGGGGTAGTGTGTGCGCGATATCGTGTTGCCGACGCACAAACGTACGTGTAAAACGTGTCGAATGCAAATGAGCTGCCGGTCTCCGGAAAAATCCAAAATAATTATGTAAAAAAACGTATAAATAAATAACGAAAACTAATAATGAATTATCGTCGGACGGCGTCCCGCTGCAGACGGCGGCGGCCGCCGTACGACAATCGGACGCGTACAATTATAATAAGAAAATCGTGTGTTCGGTCGGAGGTGTGCCGGTTAATTTCAACATCACTTTAATATGTAAATTACCAACGGGTACTAATCAGCGTTACCAGTTGGGCTATTATAATATTGTACATTGTTAAACGACCGCGACACTGAGTGTAACGGCGACAACGCGACGCCCGCTCGAGTCCGTTTGCGCGGTGTCGGTCGGCTTGTCGCGAGAAACGGTTGTCCGGACGGGACACGGGTAACGCACGACCCGAAATCCCATTTGGACGACAACAATGTGTACACTAGAAAACAGGACACACGAGAGAACGTTCTGTACACCCGACGACGATTTTCTGATTGGCGTCGTGTGCGCGGTACTTCGGCCACCGATCATGACCGTGTACGCGCTCGGCGGAGTACACACGCCCCGAGGGTGACGTGCCATTGTTTTTCGGGGTCAACACAAATGTAAACACACTGTCCCGACCGTTTCCTGTTTACCGTTTTGTCTGTGGTGTACTTTGTCTGTACTGTACACGACGTTATGACCGTACGAACTGATGCTCTGCCGTCCCGCGACTCGTCTGCGCCCTCCACGAAATGTCCACTGCCGGCCGAGACGCAAACCGCGGTCGGTAGTTATTACCAGTCGTCTGTCGCGGTGCTTTGCTTTGAAATGTATTTCTATGGCAGCGCCTTGAAACGTCAGGTCGGCCGGAATTTACAACACCGGAGCACAATGGTCGGCACAACGCAACGGTGACCTTTATTTTTACAACGGGCACTTACGGCAACCTTTTAGCGCAGAACAAAACGAGGATTGATTTTTTTTTGTCTAACCAGCCGTTAATACTTATTAGGCATGACGAGGGGTATTTACATAATACCGACCCCGACGAGTGTTGTATAATAATTACTAAGGTTTTTTGTTGTCTAACTCTCGGTTACAACAGTTTAAACAGAAATTTTTTTTGGTCATTAGCTTTTTTGCTCGGTCGACTGTCGAGGGTCAACACACCGTCACTTTGTTGTGACATCTGTATCTATGCGCGCGTACCAGTGTAGATTAGGGTTGAAAACAAATTTATTCCAATTACAATCATGACGCGCTATTATTATTTAAATAATCTTTGTGCGGAGAAAAAAACACGACCCTCACAGGTGGCTCGGCTTTTTACTATGTGCTTGGAATGTGTTTACCGCCGCGGTCTATTACCGTATGACAACACCAATTGAGACGCATCATCACAACAGCAGCACGTGGTGCTCACACACACACAAACGGGCTGGCTAAACGGATTTTCCGTACTCGTATGACAGCGGCCGCGGAAGCGCTTCGACCGTACGGATTTTTCCGTCACGAGGTATCCGATTTTAAACGCCGTCGGTACATACGATGATTACTCGAACCGCCCACGCACGCCATGTTGACTGCCGTTATTACTCTATGCATGTGTACGTTTGGTTCAAAGCTCTTTAAGAATACTTCCAAGTGGGATTTGGCATGCGATACGAGAATGAAATTAATGGGCGACCGACGGCTTTGGCCCCGTACCCGAATTCGCCAGGCATCGAATCGCCTTTGTGTCTTAAGCGTGTATGGAGTGTGTACGCGCCGTGAACGCACTTCCCTTTTTATTACTGCCGTGTATTTTTTTTTTTTTAATACGTTTTCCCTTTTGCCCCGCACAAGAGCTGCCGTACACACGAAAAGCCGACGATCACTCGCACATCAATCAAAATTATAATATTTTATATATCCCGAGGATAGTATAGCGTTGATATTATCCGTTCATAATGTAATTTCCCTTTGTGTGTGTGTGTATACATTTATTTTGTCGTTACTCTGCCCGACCAATACCGCGGTTCGTGTTGTAACTTGCAGACCACGCGAACAACACGTACCCAAAGCGTGTTCGAGGGACTCGCTCAGAAACAGCTACACACGTTCGGCACACTTGTGCAAGACAGACATCATCAAAGGGTTCGTAATAATGTACTTGGGTTTGTTATAACGAACCAGACAGTCTTTAGGTCGTCCGGAAATAGTATTTTCTTTGTGCCTTGTCATCGTGTATTGTGTTAAAAGCGAGTATTATTATTTTTTCGGTAAAAAAAGGTCTTGCGGAGCCACTTTATTCGTTCCTTTTTTATTATTTACTTTTGGTTGCGTAACATCGCGACGTCAAACAATTAGCGGCGATTATCCGACAGAAAAGGGCGCAGAAGGGTTGTTTTAATTGCGGGCAGACGTCGTTGGAAAGCATAATGGATATTGAGCAATTATTATTATTACAGCATAGCCAAGAGGGAGTCGCGACCGTTCATTAACTCGAGACTACTATAGTAGTAATAACAGCGTTAACCTCCGGTCTCGTGGCACGGGCTAAACGCCGCCGGTGGACCTTTTGTGTGTACAACGGTCTTAGTTTAAACGAATATTTAATTAACCCTCGGCGCTTGCCACCTGTTGCCGCCTCGACAGGAGTTTGTCGGACCGCGGGATGGCCGTGTAATTAACGGCAATCCCGTAGGGGAACAAACTGGGTCAAGTTTTAATTGCACGGTCTGAGAAGTTTCCAGACGGGCCGAGCGAGAGCTACCGACTCCTCCCCTTGATTTAACACGCTGCCTTTGTGTACGCGCAGTGTAACGTTTTAACGCAAGTTCAGTTGGCAGACGACTTGAACTTTGATTTTTTCCGTCTCTTTTGTTTCCGCAGAAACGCGTACACGATGGGCTGGCACCTGGGGGGCATGGTCGTCACCCCCCATCGTTATTCGTGCGAAGTCATTAGCGCAATTGTATTTATATTTTTTGATTCCAAACCCCGTTTACACTACGCTCTACCTTATATACACACACACACACACAATTACTAATGATTCACACGGTACGTTCCTAAATTGTGTGTGTGTGTGCGCGCGCTTGTAATAATAAAAATAATCATAATGACAGCCAAATATTGATCGACCGGAGCCCCCGGAAATGAAACGTCAATACCATACAGTTAATGTGTTGTATACATAGACTTGTGTCTGTGTGTTTCTTTATATATTATGTTGGATGCGGGTTCGATTGCCACGGCGAACGGGCTAAATGGGAAACTGTATTATAGTTTCCTAGGTCGTACCGAATATCGATAAAAGGAAACCGTTAAAAAAACGCTACGGCGACAATATTACAATATAATTATTAGTGTCGAGTACATTATAGAAATGGTAAAAAGCGTGGTGGAAAAAAACAACCGTCAGTACTATACTA